AGTGCGTTGAGCTGTGCGTCACGCCTTACGTTAGAATTAACTATTTGTTTAAGCTGGAGTAATTCGAGCAACAAAATTGCCGCAACTTGCAACAAAATCTGATTTCAACGCATGTTAAGTAGAAATGTTGACGCATGTTGCCTTGTGATTTGGAATTTATGTGCATGTATAAACATTTTCAATTAACATGCGTAGACTGAATCTGGTTTTGTTGCAAGTTGCAGCAATTTTTTTGCCCGTATTACTGTGCACCTTTAGGAAAAAGAGAAAATAGCTTATATGATGGGGGTAAAACTGATAGAACAATTCAGTGTAAATAAAGGTAGTTATTTTAAAAAAGGTAGTTATTTCGAAAAAACAAAACAGTGGGTAAAGCATACGTCAGCGTATACGTCACTTCTGCAATCGTTGCCGTAACCCTACTCACATACACATTATTTGGAACCACTAATGACTTAAACGAACCTGACCACTTATTTCCCGGCCGGTATGAAGTTTGCCTTATCACGTTGCAGTCCTATGTGAAAAGAATACTACCAGTTTGATCGTGCAGTTTCTGTCCTGCACTCCTGTGAGGGATGAACGACCATAAAAGCAAGAAAGCTATCCATTGTAAATAAGTTAGTTAATTAGTTTATGTTTCTTCCTAAACTAACTTTATTTATTCTGGATAGCTCTATCAATTCTAAACTGTTCTTCCTAGAGGTCCACTAAGGGTCATCTCTTATTGATCCAGTGTTCTACAGGAGTAAACCTAAACTAAACTAACTTTATTTATACTGGATAGCTCTACCAGTTCTAAACTGTTCTTCCTAGAGATCCAGTAAGAGTCATCTCTTATTGATCCAGTGTTACTACAGGAGGAAACCTAAACTAGACTAACTTTATTTATGCTGGATAGCTCTATCAGTTCTAAACTGTTCTTCCTAGAGGTCCAGTAAGGATCATCTCTTATCGATCCAGTGTTACTACAGGAGGAAACCTAAACTAAACTAACTTTATTTGACATTAACACAATGCACACAAGCATTAGCATTAGAGAATACAAAGAAATAACTTGCAGTAAATTGCATGACATAAGATTTGCACAAGATGAGCACAGAGCTCGGCTAGCTTCAGTCGCGCTTATATCAGTTTGCCGAACCGATGGAAATTATTGCTCGAGCTGTTTTGCATCAGGTCCGGCACATGAAACGTTTGAAAAAGGTCAAAACAATGGCAAAACAGTTCAAAAGAGAAATCTTTCAGCTTATACTTGCAGGCACGTGACGTTTGGGTTGCCGTTCAGCCGATTTACGACAGTAAAATATGTCATTGCAAGCAATTGACGAACGTTGTTGTCGTAGGTCTCGTAGCATTCGCACTGCGCTCACCGATACACGAGATAAATATAGAAATTTTATTGATAAACAGAGAACAATATACAAGGAGATGCAATGTTAAAAAACTTAAAACATGCAAAACCGCTTCTGACGTCAGAGATTAAAAGTACTCAACACTGCACGCTGTACGTAACTGGGGTATTAACTTGAGACGTGATTATAGTCGAGCAGAATACGAAATGAAAGATAAAGCAATATAAAGTCGTCAGAATCTTATAAGATACGTACGAATGAAGCTTCGTTTTCAATTGAGGCGCACGTAATAGGCAAATAAAACGTGTCAAAGGCTTTAGTGTTGTGTCACGAAGTTTTTTTGTATTTTCAGTTTTAAAGCAGTGTCATAAATTCAGAAAATATCTGCCCCTTATCCGCCTTTTGACATAATTAGCTGGCCTTATCTAACGTACGATAGATGATTTATGCGATATATTAAGCATTGAGCAATGCAGCTTAATTTAAACCGGGAATAAACTATACGGCTTTCAATATAGCTATAATTATAGCTTTCGATACTATTTAGATGCTTAATAGATAAACAGACCTTTATGTTTTCGTAATGCTATAGGAAATTAACGATTGAAGATTTTAACGAGGAATCTTTCTGTGCCAAATTCACTTTCTATTTCCTGTACGTTCGGTATATTTCCAAATTCCTTCTTGAGTACGCCCATCCACAACACAAAAATAAATGTAAAATATGTCCGTCCTTCTTGTATATTGAAACGTTATTATTTCACTTTAATTAAGGAAATACACCTTGCTAAATATTCTGTCATGTTCACCAAATTAACTTGTCTAAACTTTATACTCCCTAGTGATCCTGTAAGGATCATCCTTTGTTCACCCAGTGTTGTCGCAGAAGCGGAAACCTGAACTAAACTAACTTTATTTATACTGGATAGCTCTATCAGTTCTAAACTGTTCTCCCCTGAGGTCCAGTAAGGACCATCTCTTATTGGTCCAGTGTTACTACACTAGGAGAAAACCTAAACTAAACTAACTTTATTTATACTGCATGGATAGCTCTATCAGTTCTAAACTGTTCTCCCTATGAGGTCCAGTGAGGATCATCTCTTCAGGAGAAAACCTAAACTGAACTATAACTGTATTCAGTACACTGGATATCTGTAACTGTTCATCGCTAATCTCACGGCATTACATTCAGCATGATTTAGGGCATGTGTAGAAGCTGTAAACGTTCACTGAACTTGTTCAAACGTGACATCCGTTTCAGCGCTTTATTATATATGAGGCCAGGGTCAAACGTCGCCGGAACTTTTCATGTGCCGAACCTAATGTTAATGAGCTAAGTTCTTTGTTTCACTTCATTTGCATTAGGTTCAGCGCATGAAAAGTTCGACGTTTGACCCTGGCCTGACTTAGCTAAGTCAATTAACATTTTTAGTTTCAATACTGAAACTATGTATGGGATCTCTGGCTTTTCAAAAGTTGTTTCGGAAACTGTTAGAGAGTCTTAGCGATGAATCAGTCCAATTTTTTGCCCCACCTTCAGTGTCGTTCTAAAATGCGGATATATTTGAGTTGGGTGGAACTGCAGCACAGGATAGCGTCATCTGTGTTTCCGTGTCTACATAACGGTTTTCGGTACATGTAAACACAGTCATATCTACATTTGATTGGAGAGAAATATTTAAATTATAGTTTTCTTTATTTTGTATTTTATTAAAACACTGACTGCATGCCGGTAATTGAAAATTATAGCTCTATATATGATATTTATATACTTCTCTCTGAAGGAAACCTAAACTAAACTAACTTTATTTATATACTGGATACCTCTATATCAGTTCTAAACTGTTCTTGTTATAGAGGTCCAGTAAGGATAATCTCTTATTGATCCAGTGTTACTACTGACAGGAGAAAACCTAAACTAAACTGACTTTATTTTTACTGAATAGCTCTATCAGTCCTAAACTGTTTTCCTAGAGGTCCAGTAAGGATCATGTCTTATAATTGATCCAGTGTTACTACAGGAGGAAACCTAAACTAACTAGAACTGGTAGCTCTATCAGTTTTAAACCGTTCTTCCTAGAGGTCCAGTAAGGATCATCTCTTATTGATCCAGTGTTACTACTGACAGGAGGAAACCTAAACTAAACTAACTTTATTTATACTGGATAGCTCTATCAGTTCTAAACTGTTCTCCCTAGAGGTTCAGTGATGACCATTTATCTTTATCCTCGCAGTGTTTGGTATAGAGTCAAATTCAATGACCGAGGCAACAGTAGTTGAACCCCGCGAGGATGACAGGCGCAAATACTATAACTAGTGTGTGACTCACATTGTTTTACAATGTTGGAATTAAACATTTCCCCAGTGTAGGTATTAGTATAGATTCTGAGGTAATTGTTTTAATTTGTTTTCTGGCAAACACACTTGACACTTGAGTTCTACAGTATTCGCAACGTGACGTATGCACGAACGAACGTATAGATTTGTTGTCATTCTAAACTAAAAAAATTTGCTCAACGTTCGTCAATGACGGTATTTCGCGTACAAACATCGTGCCAAACACACGTTCTGCCAAGAGGAATACATGCAGTTAGTAGTGAGTGTCATTATGAGATACAGCTCACATATCGAAATGTTTCACGACGTCATAATGGTACGTCACACGGTATCATGATGTAATTATGATGCGTCATACAGTGACAAAGAGTGAAACTAGCACTTGGCATGCAGCCCTCCAACAAACCAGGTTTTCCGTGTACTGGATAACTCTATCAGTTCTAAACTGTTCTTCCTAGAGGTCTAGAAGGATCGTCTTTTATTGATCCAGTGTTACTACAGGAGGAAACATAAACTAAACTAACTTTATTTATACTGGATAACTCTATCAGTTCTAAACTGTTCTTCCTAGAGGTCTAGAAGGATCGTCTTTTATTGGTCCAGTGTTACTACAGGAAGAAACCGAAACTAAACTAACTTTATTTATACTGGATAGCTCTATCAGTTCTAAACCGTTCTCCTTAGAGATCCAGTAAGGATCATCTCTTATTGATCCAGTGTTACTACAGGAGGAAAACTAAACTGAGCCAGCTTTATTTATACTGGATAGCTCTGTTAGTTCTAAGCTGTTCTCCCTATAGAGGTGCATTAAGAACCAGTCCCTTATTGATCCAGTGGATAATTAGTTTAGGAGGAAACCTAAACTAATTATCCAACTATCTTCATTCATACTGGATAGCTCTACCAGTTCTACACTGTTCTCTCTGGAGGTCTAATAAGGGTCGTCTCTTATTGATCAAGAGTTGCTAGGAAACTGCAGTACCCGAAAGGACTCTTGAGAATATAGGGTGAAATTACAAAACACCGTGAACAGTGCCAAATATTTATATGTTTTTGGTTTATAATTCCGAACGCGATGTCCTAAAGCTAGTTAGTTAGATAATATTTTAACAATCATGTAGCTAGTATTTCTATGGCCAGCCATGACGTACATCGCGACGCGTTTTCGTAGTATGTGACGCAAGTGTTCCGGATCAATATTGATGGCACATGGCGATCAGAAGTCAAGTTATTATTCAGTGTAAAAACAAAATCTTTTATCTGAATGATATAATCAGACACTATATTTTGCAGAAATCGAATTGAAGCCACGGTGTAGTCACAGAAGGCACAAGCATTAACCATAGATAACCGATCGAAAGCCGGTTACTGGCAGACAGGCTTCACGTCGAAAGGATAATCAGCTACACTGATACATAAGCTGGTTGCAGACGAGCAAGTTTTCTACGAAAAGTTTTCATATGGCGGGTTTTATTTGCCAAGTGCACGTGTTTATGTGCAACAAATTTTCAACGACAAGTTTTTGAATTTCAGGCTGACTGCCACGATGTGGATGGCTATTATTACCTATTACTCAACAATAGGTCACTGACCAACTGCGTGCAAGATTGCGTTGACAAGGTTTCTTTGTTGATCCATACAGACGAGCAAAATTTGTACTTTGAAAATTTTTACTGTGGCAAGTACACTTCTTTTATTCGCTGACTCGTTTTGCTCTTTGGGAGACAAGTTACAAAACGAGTCGACTTGTAGCAAGTCTTATTTAATATTGTTAGTTTCATCATTAAATACATAATTGAAGAATCTTCTGCATTGACTCTCAGATGACTGACAACAAAGACCTTAGTTTACTTATATAATTTATGCACTGATGATGATGACTGACTTTATTTGAGTGTCGATCTTCTAGCGGAGCACAACGGTGCTCCACTAACAGACACTGGAAAAAATATTGAAATTTATATACCATGGAACTTGCAATTGCATTACTAAATCCATAGTGTAGGAAATTGCAATTAGTATTAGCTAAAACTGGATTTCCATACAATTTTCAACTAAGATCCAAAACAGACGATACTATATATTCCATAACAAGGATTTTGAGAAAAATTTCCAGTGAGACAGACTTGCTCCAAATCGACATCTGCTAGCCCGACCTTTACTAAACTGGGAGAGCGCAAAGACGCCCTACTTTGCGAAAGCCGTCTAATTCACAGACCGCGATCAGGGCTAACTGGCCAAATTAAAATACAGTACATATATACTGCATGATAGTAGAGTAAGAGAATGTGGATTTTTTATTTAATGCCAATTTGGTAGACTGAGTTCTCTTTATATGCACGGTGCTTTATGATGATGTTGAAAATGCGCGCCGGTGGTTTAATAGTGAATGTGCATGTCTTTCTGGAGTTCAATATGTAATTTAGCCCCTCATGACTCGTTTCAGAGATGGGGATTTGCAGTTTGATTCAGCCAAGCAATGCTGGTATGCTCCAGCTTTCCTTCTGACTGGATCACAATAATATCGTGTGTGTGTAAAGGGTGATGGCTTTTACTCAGGACCTCTAGTAAGAAGATGCGTGACACGTGTCTTCCCACTAGAGATCCAGTAAGAGCATTGTGTAATACCGTGATCTGTTTTGAACAGAACATACATACGGTGATCTTAAAATATTCAGAGCCTAAACTGATCTATTATTTATGCAATGATGGGCGATAGATAAAGAGGGGAATATCACATGCACACGAACGCACAATTTTTCTCTCAAATTTAAATTTATCCATTAAATATCTTCTTCTTTTTTCCAACAACGCAATCTAAATGTATCCATAAATATATCAAAACTTCTGAAAATATCCAATATTGGATGAATCCCGGATAAATTTCCGCCAAACGTGACACTAATTGTAGGCAATATGAAATTAGCTGAAACGCAAATTATCATTGACGAACTTATTCCCATGCCTCTGTTGTTCCGATCTGCCGTGTGACGTCAGTGATCTATATTTACCTCCGCTTCTCAGACAATTAAATTAAAGAGCCTTCGTAGACTTTGATCTGGGGCATAGATTATAGATCATACCAGATGTCTCACTGTGTATCTATCTCTATGATTTTCGTGTCCGCGATTTTCGCAAGGCTATCACGCCAGATGACGCGTACGACACTTACTGCCAAAATGGCGCTTACTGCCAAAAAGGCGTGATTGCTCACGTTTCATGGCGTGGATTACACTTACTGCCAAAATGGCGGCCAATTTGTGCTAATAAAAAATCGCGGACACAATTTTGGCTGAGTGAGACATCTGGTATAATCTATAATCTATAATCTATGTCTGGGGTGATCACCCTGGAAACTGAGATGAAGCGAATAAATACGGAAAACGCGGAATGCGAATGGAGTTCGATTCCTGAATACACAATAGACAATTGCCATTATGGACTAATTTTAAAACTAGGCAAGGAGATGCAAATAAATCACCACAGCTGGAAAGAGCATAGTAAAATGAGTAAAATTGAAAAGGTTGGTTGCGAAATGTTGTAAAATGCGGAAAATATAGGCTATATATAGCCTTGTGTGTTGCGTGCGGAAATTGCTACCATTTTCGGCCCAAATGTGGTAGCCATGAATTTCCGCACGCAATACAAAAGTATACAAAATTTTCAAAATTTGCAAGGCTATATTTTCCGCATTTTACAACATTTCGCAGCCAAACTTTGCAACTGTTTTAAGCCCGTTCTCCACTAGGCGAACTTTTTCGCGCGACGGGAAGCGAAAAACAAATCTTGGCAATGTGATTGGTCAGCGAAAAAATTCGCCGCGAAAAAGTTGGATCAGTTCCTACTTTTTTACTGTTCGCGCGAACAAATTCGCTTAGTGGAGAACGGGCTTTACTCATTTTAGTATGACCTTGCCTAGTTTTAAAATCAGTCTATAATGGGAATTGTCTATTCTTTGGTTATAATCTCGAACGATCTGTGCCAGTGGCAGTGTAGGTAGCGACGATACTGGAACAAGACATCTCCGAATTGAGAGAGATATACTGACCACCTGAAAAATATAAGCATAACTTCGACATTTCAAGGCCTTTCGTTTTGATTACTGAGTAGCGGCCGGCTAACAACACGACGAAGATTCTCCGCTCGAATAACCTACCTAATGAACAAAATTTTGATCTAGACAAGTCTAGACAAACATTTCACCACAGCTTGAAAGAACATCGCAAAATTAGTAATATTCCGAAGTTGCGTTGCGAAATGTTGTAAAATGCGAATAATATAGCCTTGCGAGGTTTGCCGTTTTTCAGTCATTTTGCCTTACGCACGGGAAATTAGTATGACCACTTTCTGAAAAAGGGCAATTTCCCGTGCGTAATACAAAATGACTGAAAAACGGCAAACTTCGCAGGGCTATATTATCCGCATTTTACAACATTTCGCAACGAAACTTCGGAATATTACTAATTTTGTGATGCTCTTTCAAGCCGTCTAGACTTGTCTAGATCAAAATTTTGTTCATTAGGTAATAGGTCCATATTCCAGGGTTCCTCTGGGATCTCCAGTTTTCTCCTCAAGAGATGCATGGCTCTTAGTACGGTGGAGCACTATTGGATAAAGCAATTTCTGATCTGTTCAGAGCTTTTTCTAATTTCCGAGTCCATATGTAGAGCTTTTTCTCATCTGTTCAGATTTTACTGAGACTTTCCTGAAACTGAGTACACTTAGTGAGATGAGATCCCTACTGAGATTTTGTTAATAATAATAATAAATTTTTAATAATAATAATAATAAAAATAGTATTTGGTATAGATAATTAAATAGAGAATAATACATGGGTGCGCGGAAATACCAGATTTATTTCGAATGTTGAACATGATATCTCACGAGTGAGCGCAGCGAACGAGTGAGATCTCATGTTCAACACGAGAAATAAATCTGGTATTTCCAAGCACCCATGTATTTTTCCGTTTATTATATAAAAGACAGCCTTTGAAAAGCAATAATTTTTACAAAAAAGCGATAATTGAAAAGCGATAATTTTAACATGTGAGATTATCATGAATAATCTGACATGTGAGATTATCACTTTTATCAGTGCTCGAATCGAGTTCGTTGATCAAGTTCCATGTCTTTCCTTCGTTATTGTCGATTTTTATTTTTTCCCACTGTATAGCTTGCTATACACTGTGTGCCAGTGTGTGGCTGAACGCTGAAACACCAGTGTTTTAACGATATATTATTACAGACAGTTTACATAATTCTTTCGTTTTACAGTTATTGTGAAAGTTCTCCGGATTGATAATAATTTTTATTTAGCTTCCAACTTGGAGTCTTCATCAGAATTTTTATCAAGTTAATATCAATCCAGGAAACTAATATTCACAGACTCGTTATAATCATTGTTGGGCTCTTGACTGACGAATTTTAAACTTTCATGTACATATTTAAAACAGGCGGGATTCACTATTAAAGCGCTATATTGAACAAGCAAATGATGCTCAGACGGTATTAGAATGAGAAAATAATGTTAATTCTTTCCACTGTATGTAGTAGTCTTGTATTTGAGGGCAAATTGATAAAATAGAGAGAGTATACCAAAAATGACTCACCGCAGTTAGCATCGCCACAATGATTAGCATAAATTACGTACGTCTCGCTTCTCATTGGTTGAAAGTGCCAACGATTTTTGAGCGATGTTTTTTAAAGAATTGTCAAATTACGAACCATGTGGAAGCGAAGCGAAGTTGCAAATTTTTGAATTTTCTTCAGAAAACTTGACGTAAAATGATGGTTATTTAATTTTTAAACGCCGTATAATCTTCATGAATTAAAGGAGGGACATTTCAGCTACAAAGCAAGGAAAGACTAAAAACTACTGACTGGAGTTATGGACGTTTTCCGACCCATAAAAACACGTGAGTATAAAATATCCACCATATTAAAGATATTTAGTTCTAATGTTTGTAACTGTCGTGGTTTGTGTCTGAACTACCTGAAAAAGATATCTCAAACATGGTGGCCCAGTGTAGGTAGTAGCTGGTAGTGTTCTACAATAAGCTGCCGTAGTTTGCAGTTGGGGGGGGGGGTGGTGGAGGGGGGCAAAGCCTCCTAAATTTCCAACAAAACTTTCAAATTTCCGACATACCCCCCCATTTGAACTCAAAAAGACTGTTTTTAGCCCTCTTTTAGGTCAAAATTTCCGAAAATTTTTCAATTTTCTGTGCCCCCCCCCCAAGATTTCCGCCACTGGTGGTCTGTGCCTGAACTACCTGAAAAATATATCTCAAATGTGGTGGTACAGTGCAGATAGTATTTAACAATATACTGAAGCTGCTGTGGTTTGTGTCTGAACTACCTGAAAATAAATAACTACATAAATAAAATAAAATAAAATGACTTGTTACAGATCATCAGTTTCATAAAACTTTTGATGAACGCTTTCCGAACTTTGTTGTGAAGTTAGAGGACCAATCAAAGGCTTTGTTTACAAACCGGCTTGAGAATTTCAATAAGAACTTTTGAACTTTGCAACGAACTTGCCAATTTCAAAATGAAGTTCAGAAAGCATTTGTCAAAAGTTATATGAAATCATCTATAAATGTTAATTCTACTGTAAGCTCTTAAAAATTTCTCCATATAACCACTCACTGACCAGGCTCGCCTGTTTTCCAGGATGAGAGTTCAAAGTTGCCGCTGCGAGCTATTTTTAATGACTGTCAAAACAACAACATTGTCGCGGCAAGCCGGATGAAATTTTCTCAATGTACACACATGACACATTCATCTTGCTTGCGCTCTCCCCTTGATGAGTAAAATCATCTGGTGTTAGACAGAGTAAAATAATAAAGTAAGTCACATTTGGGTGCAATGCAACTTAATGGGCTAAAAAGTAAGTTGGTGTGATTAAAAATAGACGTTTGTCATGCTTTCTGAGTCGATTTTGATGGTAGCCCTTTATAAGTGCCAGGAATGAAAAGGGCAAGTCAAAGTTAGCAAGTAGACAGAATTTGGAGGCTATATTTTGAAAACTGTGGTACTTTGAAAAATATGGAATTTGAAATGTCATTAGAAAACATATTGGGGGTTTAATTGCATCAATGCATATAATATACTATATATAATGCAATAAGTCATTCGACAAGACAAACATATAATTATTTACAATATAAGCAAGTGTGTAAGTAAGTATTTTAATAAGTAAGTAAGTATTTTTGCTATGGAAACAGCTAATATGGTTTGGGTTTTAACTAAATAAATTTAAGTCTGGATAAAGTACTTTATAATGTGCATAAGATTTGATAAGAATACACTCATCTTCATAGTTCAGTGCTGTATGTTACACTTATTTTATGTTAGCCTGCGAACAGACTCTCTTTGAACTCTCTAATTCAATTCAAAGAGCCTGTTCGCAGGCTAATTTTATGTCAGTATCACTTATTAGTTCTTAATTGTTCATAATTGTCTCATTCTAATTTTATCTTGTATTCTTTTATTCATTTCATGCTGGTTCAACTCAGTCACTTGTAAAAACAGAGTTGTTTATTCTTTTGTTTATTCAATGTTTCTTTCAAGATGACTTTATTGCCTGTTCATAATGCTTCAATTCAGTCTTTTTTTCACGTTCTTATCTGAGCTGTTTATTCTGCTATTTCAACTTCATTTCATGTTCTCCTCAAACTCCTTACACATTTGTATCAGATACCTTCAGTGTTGATCACGTGCTTTTGTTTTTTGGTCACGTGATTTTGCTTTTTGATCACGTGATTTTGCTTTTTGGTCACGTGATTTTGCTTTTTGGTCACGTGCTTTGCCTTTTTGGTCACGTGCTTTTGCTTTTTGGTCACGTGATTTTGCTTTTTGGTCACGTGATATCACTAATTCCCATGTTGGCTGGAAATGTGCCTCGCGAGATGACTCTTGTTGTTAAACCTTTTCTTGCATTTCTCGCAAGGATATGGACGTTCTCCGGTGTGAACCAGTAAATGTCGTCTCAGATTTCCAGAAATTGAAAAGCATTTTCCGCAGTCTGGGCAAGAGAAAGGTTTGATGCCCGTGTGAACGCGATGATGGATGAGCAGCGCACTTTTCTTGCTGAATCGCATCTTGCATTGAGAACAAGGGAACGGTTTTTCTCCTGGAAAATAAAATTGATAAATTGTTAAAGACCATGACAAGTCCGTAATGTAAACAAATCGGATTTGTTTACATTTTGAACTTCTATATTTGTAAAATAAGACATACTAAAGGCCATGTTACACGGTGCAATTTTTCTTGCAACTTGCAATGCAATTCTGCTCTTGAGAGATGTTAATTAGTGAAATCGGTGAAGAATTTTCGATATGTTGAGAAAACATCAGCGGAGTGTAATGAAGACTCGTATTTGGCAATTTTACATCTCTCAAGCGTAGAATTGCATTGCAAGTTGCAAGAAAAATTGCGCCGTGTAACATGGCCTTAACTGAATGTCTAACACTGCTCTGGTTCGCAATTGACCATTTGCGTAATGGACTAAATTTTGATCTAGACAAAAATCACAGCTTGAACGAGCATCACAAAATTAGTAATATTCCAAAGTTTCGTTGCGAAGTGTTGTAAAATGCGGATAATATAGCCTTGCGAAGTTTGCAATTTTCAGTCATTTTAGATTACAAACGGGAAATTGACAGCCCGATACGCTTTGAGGCCGTCAATCCCCCGTTTGTAATCTAAAATGACTGAAAATTGCAAACTTCGCAAGGCTATATTATCCGCATTTTACAACATTTCGCAACGAAACTTTGGAATATTACTAATTTTGTGATGCTCTTTCAAGCTGTGATGAAATTTTTGTCTAAACTTGTTGAGATCAAAATTTTGTCTATTACGCAAATGGTCAATTGTAAATGGTAAACTAGCGTACATTTCAATTCAAAAAAGTTCGAAAGATGCAAAATTTGGGCAATGTTTATATCTGTGGGTCCCCCTTTGTTATGAGCAGAACTGATGCGCAGAACGGACTTGACACGGTCTTTAAGCATTTTGTTTTCTGTGCTATCTGCCCCATGTTCACACAAGTACATACTTACAGTACTTGCTGGGGCGTATCCAGCGCTCCAAGCGAGTGTGTGTGGTGGGGGCTTAACTTATCCCAGCTAAGGGGCTAACCCCAACCCTGCTAACCTAGGGTCAAGCTAATCGTGTTTTGAACAACCAGCCCCTCATTAACAATCATCATGAGTGAAATCTTACCTGTATGAGCTCGGATGTGTCTCACTAATCTCCGTCCGTTTACAAAACATCTCTGACAATACTGGCATGTAAATCTCTTCTGCTCCTCGTGTTGAGCTAAGTGAACCTCGATGCTCTCTGGGTCCAGCAACTCGTCCTGGCAAACGTCGCACTTGTACGGAATAACTCCGGTGTGTTCCAAAATATGTTTCTCCAACATCGACTTGCGCGCAAAAAGTTTGGAGCAGATTGAACATTGGTGCGGTTTCTTGGTGCTGTGGATCATCATATGAGCCTGCAGTCCATCGCCACGCGTGAAAGAGCGGTCGCACTGGCTACATTTATACGGACGCACGCCTGTGTGGATTCTCTCATGAGCCTGCCAATGCGAGAACCAGCGGAATCGCTTTTTGCAGTGAAAACAACAGTATTTATATTTCTTCTCTTTTTTCGATGGTTGAATGTTTTCATTTTGCACAAGGCTTGGAACGTCGGGTTTCGCTGTATCGGAATTTTTGACCGAAGTTCTAGATTGTTCAATGGGGTTCGTGGTAGAATCAACCGATAATGAATTGCGTTGTTGGGGATTTTCAGTTTCTATTAGGTTTCCATGGTCGGGCGTTGCTTTATCCAAATCGGATTTACCATTCACTGGTGTTAGGTCGCAACTTGTCTCTGTGGTTTGCGAGGACGTTCGGTGTTTCTCTTGGATAACAGAAGGTTTTTGATGTTCAGTACTATGCATAATACTGGATACAAAAGGCCGTTTGGGGGTAATCGGTAGCATCACGTGGTCAGGTTGACATTCCTTGGGTGTAAATGGTGTTGTATTTTGGATAATAGGAGATCTCCGATGTTCTCGTTGTGGAACCTTGTGGATAACTTGGAGATCGTTTGTTGATAAGTGTGGACTTTTAGGGATAACAGAAGCTTCTGGTTGGAGATAATTCGGTACACTGGGGGACATAATCCGTGAATCTTTTGTGGATAACTGTGGATGTTTGTGGATAAAGTTACCATAAAGTTGTGGGGTAATATTAGGGGTAACAGGTGTGATTTCTTGCTCGGTGTTCATTTCGTGATCATTTTCAAAACTTGGTTCCAAAACTGCTTCCCTCGGTGATGAGCATTTGGTGCCGCTTTTCAAACTTCGCCTAATCACACTTGGCCGTCTTCGATTGAGTTCCAAATAGTCGGGGGTTTTTGAATTTAGCCGTTTTTTATGTGAATTATGACATGTTCTCCCCAAACGGCGATGCCTTGGTAGATTTCTTAACACTTCGATCATAAAGGGTGAAAAATTTTGAGCGTAGACTTGATTAAAGTTTAAGAAACGCCTTCTCGCTTCTAAGCTTGCTTCTGATTGCCTCGCTTGGGTTTTGTATGTGGGGATGTACGGGGAACTCAAGTTGGTTGCGGGATAGCGGTAGGATTGCGAGGGATCCAACAGGGTAAACAAGGCCCTTAAGTACTCTGCCGTGTACAAGTCGTACTCTGGACTCGGTAGTGCGTTCGAGTTTTCGTATTTTTCCATAGTTGAACCTGGTGCAGGAAAGATGCAATTTTGATCAAATTAACCAGAAGGTCTTCGTCAGTTGTTTGGGAGTTGAGTCTAAAAATCAAGTAAATGATTTAGAAAAGTTGCTCAAAATTTTCATAAAGTCAAAATTGATCAAGAAAATTTCGATCAAGTCAAAATTTTGGTCAACCCAAATTTGATCAATTCGCCAGCCGCATTTGATTCACTAATTACTAGAAAAAATATTGATCAAGAAAATTTTGATCAAGTTAAAATTTTGATCAAGCCAAATTTGATCAATTCGCCAACCGCATACATGTTTTTCCTTGTATATTTCCTTGAGTATATACGCGTTAACAACAGTTGTGACTAATTGACCTGTTTCCCTCATGAAATTAGGGAACTTTAGATTCGCTACGGCTACGAAATCTAGTACGACTACGAGATTTTTTCCATTAAAAATCAGCTACTAGAAACTTATAATAGTACGTGGTTTGGCGCAACTGTTGCTATAAAGATGTGGTATGCAAAAGAAAGGACGATAAAAAGTCCGCTGTAGTAGCAGATATTTAACGGAAAAAATCTCGTAGCCGTACCAGATCAGTTCGTAGCCGTAGCGAATCTAAAGTTCTCTATCTTGAAGTTTGCTATACCGCAATATAGCCAACGAAACTATGAATGTTGTAGAACTCGTCAGACTATTTGAATAATGAGCAGCTCACATAAAGGACACAGGTTATACTGCTATATACTATAGTTTTTTATACATGCGTCAGAATGCTTTAGAGAGTCAGGCCAATATGCAAGAGAACGCGCATTATAGATCAGCATGGACTATAACCATTGTTTATTTAAGCCCGGATTCAGGAGTCGATTGTTCCGAATTTCAAGCCGACATAAGCTAACCCTAAGTTAACTTAAAATTCAAAGCAAACTTCTCATACATGCTATTGCATTCTGTAGAAATCTTGTGTGGATCAGTATCAAGGCGGAGTCAGTTTTATTCTCTGGAGTTCAAATAACCCCAGGGGCCGATCGGTTCAAAAGCCGCGGATAGCTTGAAAATTTCTACAAATGGGTTGTTTTTCCAGAATTCTTGTCTGGGGCAATATACGTGTTATTTTCTAAGGTTTTGAAATAAATAAATTTGCAAATGTACCCAAACCAAAGCAGCGAAAGAACTTGCCATCAAGGTTAGCACTATAATTTAGCTTTGAACAACAAGCCCATGCAGTACACTATAAATACAATAAATCATACAAGATATGTCCTGATTGCATGTCATATATTTATCTATCTTGATACAACAATACTGGACAATGGCTCACAAAAGAAGAGATTTATACCTTATACACGTGTCCCTATACAATATGAGATTCCTTTGTGACCTGCTAAAGCACGTCCAATTTATTCGACAGTTACCACCACTGCATGCATATATATATAGTGAATGATCTAACTATATATATGCTTGACTCGCCAATGACATGTACTGTGTCTTGTCTTTTCAAAAAGCGCCCGAGTTTTATAAGATCTTATTTGCCCGCCAATGCGAATATATGAGAGCTTGATGACGTCACGATTCGTACAATACGTGACTCCAAAATGTAGCCAAGGCCAACGATTTTCTGTATGAAAAATTACCGAACGACGTTTCTTCGTATTTACAAGCGCCATCATTGGAGTAAATACAGTCAAGCTATATATATTTACTTTACACTACGTTTTAAATTTGAAAATAAACAGGATATGCTCTTTCTGATGGCTGGGAATGAGTTCGTGGCAATATTTAATGACGAATTTGTGCTATATCCGATTAAGCGGGAAACTACTCGAAGGATCATTAAGTGGTTATTTCTTAATTTGGAAACTCGTAAGATTGTTTGATGAAAATATCACGTATAGCGAAAAGTTAATTTATACTGGATAGTGATTCTGTCAGTTCTAAACTGTTCCCCCTATAGGCGTCCAGAGACGATCATCCTTTATTTAGATCAAGTATTATACTATACAGGCGGAAACCTAAACTTTATTTACTAACTAACTTTATTTATACTGGATAGCTCTATCAGTTCTAAACTGTTCTTCCTAGAGGTCCAGTAAGGATCATCTCTTATTGATCCAGTGTTACTACAGGAGGAAACCTAAACTAAACTAATTTTATTTATACTAGATATATAGCTATATCAGTTCTAAACTGTTCTTCCTATAGAGGTCCAGTAAGGATCATCTCTTATTGATCCAGTGTTACTACAGGAGGAAACCTAAGCTAAATGAACTTCTAGTTTATTAAAGTTATTATTATTAGCACTGATGACGATCCGGGCTTACGGATCGAAAGCTTTGCAGTGATAAACTTACGTGGTGTTTCCACAAACTAAAAGTATTATATATTGTAGGGTTTATAAGTTTATTATAGAAACCAATCTAAAAATAACACTGAATGATTATTGATGGGAAGCCTTTTGCCCGAACGTGATCTGATCAATCAACTCGTCACCAGCAATTCAGGACATAGCCATAGGTCAGGGGCATGATTTATAACACGTGCCGAAACTTGGCTTGCGATATGTTTTGAATCGTGATGTGTGTTTTTAAATATGTGAATAAAGGAGGTCTGTTTGTGCGTTTAGTTTGTATTAATGTACTAATTAATTAAATGCATTAAAATTACTATTTACTTTTTTAATTTTACTCAAAAAAGCCTGTGAAGGTTTCTAGTAGGTCTCTAGCCCAGTATATCATAATTATTTTGTTAGGGAATATCGTGGGGGTGGAAGCTGATAAAAAGAAGAAAAAATAGTCTGTTAAATTATGTCACGCAATCTTAATTAGCTGTTCTTAATGGTTTCCCAACACTGTCAAAATGAAATGAATTCACTGACTATAATGAAAGTATATTCAATTGTTTATCGTCATCAGTTGTGTTTCACTATAAATTTTCATTAAATATTTTTTTGTATAAAAATTACGGGAATCACTGAGTATTTTAATGAAATATATAAAACAACGGTAACTCGGAAAATAAACATATTAATATTAAAATAACGTAACATTTTAATATTAAAATGTTTATTTTCGGACTGCCGCCGTTTTATATTTTTTGTATACTATCATATTTTGTCTTCGCTGTAAAGCAAAATATAAACAAAGGTATACACTCACTTCAATATTGGATGATATGCGCTGGAAGAAAATAGTGAAATTCATATACAGTCTGTGGAATTTGCGATTTCATCACTAAATCGATAGTATGGAAATTGCAATACTGAGGCAATTCCAGCTGTAGACTAAATTTTGATCTAGGCAAGAAGAACAAAATCCATCACCACAGCTAGAAAGAGCATGTTGAAATTAGTAAAATAATTTATTGCAAAGTTTGGTTGCGAAATGTTGTAAATTCACGGGAAAATATAGCCCTGTGAATTTTGTATAGATTTGTATTACCGCGCGTAATACCAATGTATACAAAATTTGCGAACTTCACAGGGCTGTATTTTCCTCATTTAACAACATTTCGCAACCTTGCAATTTTACTAATTTCAACATGCTCTTTCTAGCTGTGGTGATGGATTTTGTTCTTCTTCCCTAGATCAAAAGTTAGTCTATGGCTGGAATTTGCCCGCTATATGAAAATTGGATTTCCATACTATATTATGTGTTCTGTTTAAGTTAAAACATAGTTGGAACACTCGTTAAACATTTATTTTGTTAATCTAGAGCTTGAAATGTCCCCTGTAACTAGTGCCAATACCGCTCAATAGACAATTCCCATTATAGACTAATTTTAAAACTAGGCAAGGAGATGCAAATAAATCACCACAGCTAGAAAGAGCATACTAAAATGAGTAAATTTGCAAAGTTTGGTTGGCGACATGTTGTAAAATGCGGAAAACATAGCCTTGCAAAGTTTGCAAATTTTGTCATACTTTTGTATTGCGTGCGGAAATTGCTACCATTTTCGGCCCAAATGTGGTATATAGGAAGTATACAAAATTTGCGAACTTTGCAAGGCTATATTTTCCTCATTTTATAACATTTCGCAACCGAACTTTGCAATTTTACTCATTTTACTATGCTCTTTCTAGCTGTGGCGATTTATTAGCATCTCCTTGTCTTGTTTTAAAACTAGTCTATATAATGGGAATTGTCTATTTTCTTCCTCGTTCGATCGAAGTTAGCGGCAGCTGTCTCCAACTCCCACGATATTAAAGTGAGTTTATATAGATAAGAGAACAAAGCACAGAAAGAGTAGGTGTCGTGATGTTTGAGAAAGTTTTTAACGCATGATTCGTGACCAACTAATCTCGTTGACCTTGATGGTTGCAAAATAGTGACGGTCGGCAAACAATGATTAGTGGCAGTTTCCTCCATATTTAGGAATTCGTGACGCAGAGTCAAAGTCCAGTCTAATGGCACGTTTACACCTTCGCGATTTGTCGTCTACGATTCGTATTCTGGCGTATGAAAATTAGTACTGACGCCACAATTTCTCTTCATTCAGACTTGAACTCGTAGCTCAGTTGGCAGAGCATTGTACTTGACGGTATCCCAAAGGTCGCGGATGCGATTCACACCCTGGTCAGGCTAACTTTTCAGCCTGCCCGATTTGGATATACATGACTCAGAGTAACATTAAAAACATCCTCTTGATTTAGTTTATGGCCAGGGTTCGGAATAGCGGGCTGCTAATGGCCAAAACCAGGTCATGTTTTAGACTACCAAGTAACTGAAAAAATGGCAGGTGATATAATTCATTTCATTTGCTTACCACAACTCGTATATACTAGATCATTCAGTTGACTAAATACGTTAATATTTAAAATGTAAGTCCAAGTTTACTGTAGTAAAATAGACAAATTTAAATAAAATAGACAAGTTTAAAAATAATAAAAATGCATATGATGAAAACATTGATTTTTACAATGCATGACTCATATGAGACATCGCCATTTTGGCAGTTCAATGAATAAAAATGGTATAGGCTAAAATTTATTTCACCTGCCAAAAAATTTAGACCAGTGGCAGGCCATATTTTTTCTCTCATTCGAACCCTCGATTAAATCACAGAGTAGGAAGGTACACCAGAAGTCTCACTCAAGCAAGTATTTGTCCGCGTTTTTACAAGCGATTCGTCATCAATCACGCCATCCTGGCCAGTACAACCGGCACTTTGTACCTACCAAAACCTGATAAAAACTTCCGGCTGTACTAGCCAGGATGGCGCGAGCACAGTTAATATTGGCGCGAGCGAGTTAAAATTTTCGTGGACGTAAACACCGACTCAAGTTACACTTCTGCTGTACTTTCCTATTTTGTGATTCAATTATGGCGAAATTTGAAATGCAATAATTTTACGCGTGCTTTTCCGATTACATACGCCGGAGTACGAATCGTATACATGACAAATCGTATAGCGTGTAAACGCACCTTCGGCAAGTCACGAAAGGGAAAACGATCTCGGCATTCCACGCTTTGATATTTGGCATTTGTATATATTGGTGGCTTGCCTCAGTCACGGGTGTATAATGAGTTCAGCCGGTTTGACTCCATCAAGGAAGTCAGTTTTCCTCCTGTAGTAACATTGGATCAAAAAAGGATGGCCCTAATATACTTCTTGAATGAACGGTTTAGAACTGATAAAGTAATCCAGTATAAAAAAAGTTAGTTGAGTTTAGATTTTTCCTGTAGTAACTCTGGGAGAACAGTTCCGAATTGATAAAGCAATCCAGTATAAAAAAAGTTAGTTGAGTTTAGGTTTCCTCCCGTGTACCAATACTGGGCCTCAGGGAGAACAGTTCCGAACTGATAAAGCAATCCAGTATAAAAAAGTGAGTTGAGTTTAGATTTCCTCCCGTACCAATAGACAGATTTACGGGCGTTTTCCACTAGGCGGAATTGTCCGCGCGGAGCGGAATTTTTCTTTGTCTTGTGATTTTCCGGGTGGAACTAATTAGAAAAGACAAAGAGAAATCCGCTGCGCGTGCAAAATTCAGCCTAGTGGAATGCGGCCTTTAGATCGAGGACGCGGACGTCAAAGACGACGTGAAAATGGCGTGTTGTGCCCATGTATGGACATGCCACGCCACTTTCACGTCGTCTTTGACGTCCGCGTCCTCGATCTAAATAGTAATCGTTATAGTAAGCTAGATCATCTTCAACTTATATGCAATGACCACAGATATACAGCAACCGTTAATTCTATAGTGAAAATTGTGTAATCTTGTAACTGTATATTATGATATAATATCTTTCTTTTGTAAATAGTATATACTTTAAACTTACTTCAATAATTACTCTTCACTGTAAATATATATGCAATATTTTTTTTACAAACCTAACTAGTGGCCTACATTAAAAAGCCTGCATGTGAAGGTTTCCAGTAGGTCTCTAGCCCAACACCTTCAAACTACACATAGTTTTGTTACTTATTATTGTACACATGGGAAATAAATATATGATTGATTGATTGATCAGTTTATAGAAGAAAAAAAATAAAAAAAATAAACCCTGTCCCTGGCTTTGTTTACCAACAACAATCCATAGTTTTTACCCGTGAAGTGAAACTGTGATAATAGCCAAAGTTTTTCCTCATGTCCGCGTCGTAGATTTAGTATCTTATATAGATCCCTAATATACTGGACCTCTCATGGGAGACTGACAATTTAGAACTGATAGAGTTATATCCATATAAATATTTCTAGTTTAGAAGGGATAGCTTAATGGATCTGTGTGTAGGGGGTTGAGTTGTGCAGCATAACTATAAATGAAGTTTTATTTTACCGGACAGATCCAGACTTTTCCAGTAGACAACTTGCATGTTAGACTAATTTTTGATTTAGGCAAAAAAAAGTAAATTCCCGTAAAGAACTTATTAAAATTAGTAAACTTGCAAAATTTGTTTGCGAAATGTTGTAAAATACAGAAAATATAGCCTTGCGAAGTTTGCATATTTTCAGTTATAAAACAAGATGCCTGCTCAGGCGTTCACACACTGGCCTCGAAGTGACGACATACGTACTATGGTAATGATAAAATTACTTAAGTAAGTGTGGTTTCCGTCTGTTGTGCTATAAATAGAAAGAACAGTCCAGAAGAGCTGAGAGCTCAGTGGCTTAGAGAGATGAACAGCACTAGTCTAAATATGGAGTGCATGAGTTAGTTTCGATTTCCTCCTGTAGAGACACTGGATCAATAAGAGATGACCTTTATTGGACCTTTATAGAGAGAACAGTTTAGAACTGATAGAGCTATTCAGTATAAATAGAGTGAGTTAGTTTCGATTTCCTCCTGTAGAAACACTGGATCAATAAAAGATGACCTTTATTGGACCTCTATAGAGAGAACAGTTTAGAACTGATACACCTATCCAGTATAAATAAAGTTTAGTTTACGTTTCCTCTTGTAGTAACACTGGATCAATAAGAGATGATCCTTACTGGACCTCTAGGGAGGACAGTTTAGAACTGATAGAGCTATCCAATATAAATAAAATTAGTTTAGTTTAGGTTTCCTTCTGTAGAAACACTGGATCAATAAGAGATGACCCTTACTGGACCTCTAGGGAGGACAGTTTAGAACTGATAAGAGCTATTCAGTGTAAATAAAGTTAGTTTAGTTTAGGTTTCCTCCTGTAGAAACACTGGATCAGTAAGGGATTATCCTGACTTCACATTCCTGGAGAACAGCTCGCCGCAGAAATGTGCTGTCAAGTTTTTGGTTAGTTTTATACCTCAGGTTTTTCCCTGTTCTAAAAACTAGACTATAATAACGAAACACAGCCGATAGAGCTGTCCAGTATAAACTATAAATAAAGTTATTTTATTTTAAAGATACGTGATGATCATTTGATGTTGTATTTAGAACTATGATTCAAAATTATTCTGTATATACATAGAGTTCAAGTTCATATAGTCATATAGAGTTCATCATCTAGTATTTACTGGACGGTTTCGCTAAACACAAAATACAATCGGAACATGACTCATATATGTGGTCCCTTTCTTAACATATAGATAAAGCGGACTACATATTATAAAATCAACTTGAAGAAATCACGAGACTGAATCACAGGAAACTGTTTCATTCGGTACAGACGTCTGTATAAGGGAAAAATTAATCCCAAGCATAACACGACCTAAGATAATTGGCGTCAATTCAGGAAGTTATCAAATTTTCTCAATTGCTCAAGTGATCCGTGTTTCGAATATAATACTTCATTTTGCACTCGGTTGAGGGTGTTGCCTGCAACATGTCGGTATATCAGGCCCAAGAAAAATCTCAGCCCGTGCTGCCAAACACGCTGGGGGTACCGGGTGGCATTAACCGCAATTAACATACGGGGTATTGACATACCACATATATAGCTCGCCGTTTCAAGGTTGCGATATGCCGGTTTTAAGGTTGCCCCGGATTGGAGTTTATTGATAGCCAATATACAAATCAATATAAATAAAGTTAGTTTAGTTTGGATTTGCTCTTGTAATAAATAACAGTACATCAATGAGGAATGTCTCTTAATTACTGGACCTCTAGAGAGCACAGTCGAGAAATGATGGAGCAATACCCAATCCCAGTATAAATAAAGTTAGTTTAGTTTAGGCTGTAGTAACACTGCATGGATCAATAAGAGATGATCCTTACTGGACCCCTAGGAAGAACACTTTAAAACTGGTAGAGCTATCCAGTATAAATAAAATTAGTGTAGTTTACTAAGTTTAGGTTTCCTCCTGTAGTAACACTGGATCAATAAGAGATTACTCTTACTGGACCTCTAGGGAGAACAGTTTAGAACTGATAGAGCTATCCAGTATAAATAAAGTTAGTTTAGTTTAGGTTTCCTCCTGTAGTAACACTGGATCAATAAGAGATTACTCTTACTGGACCTCTAGGGAGAACAGTTTAGAACTGATACTGAGCTATCCAGTATATGAACTAAAGTTAGTTTAGTTTAGGTTTCCTCCTGTAGTAACTAACACTGGATCAAGAAGAGATGAACCTTACTGAACCTCTAGGAAGAACAGTTTAGAACTGATAGAGCTATCCAGTATAAATAAAGTTAGTTTAGTTTAGGTTTCCTCCTGTAGTAAATGATCCTTACTGGACCTGTAGGGAGAGCAGTTTAGAACTGATAGAGCTATCCTGATTATAAATACAGTTAGTTTAGTTCCGTTTTCCTCCTGTAATAACAATAATTAATACATTAATACAAACTAAACGCACAACAGACCTCCTTTATTCTCAGATTTAAAAAAACACATCACGATTGAAAATATATCGCAAGCCAAGTTTTGGCACGTGTTATAAATCATGCCCCTGACCTATGGCTATGTCCTGAATTACTGGTGACGAGTTGATTGATCAGATCACGTTCGAGCAAAAGGCTTCCCATCAATAATCATGCAGTGTTATTTTTAGATTGGTTGCTATAATAAACTTATAAACCCTACAGTATAATACTTTTAGTTTGTGGAAACACCACGTAAATTTATTACTGCAAAGCTTTCGATCCGTAAGGCCGGATCTTCATCAGTGCTAATAATAATAATAACTGTAATAAACTTGAAGTTCATTTAGTTTCAATTTCCTCCTGTACTAACACTGGATCAATAACAGATGATCCTTACTGGACCTCTAGGAAGAACAGTTTAGAACTGATAGAGCTATCCAGTACAAATAAAGTTAGTTTAGTTTAGGTTTCCTCCTGTAGTAACACTGGATCAATAAGAGAGGATCCTCACTAGACTTCTAGGAAGAACAGTTTAGAACTGATAGAGCTATCCAGTATAAATAAAGTTAGTTTAGTTTAGGTTTCCTCCTGTAGTAACACTGCATGGATCAATAAGAGATAATCCTTACTGGACCTCTAGGAAGAACAGTTTAGAACTGATATGTCTAATTTTCATGAAGTAAAATTATAGTGTGATTATCTTTTTCCTATAGAACAAAGGATACCAGTCGGTGTTAAAAATATGCCAGCCATCACCAAAATGGTTTGGCTTTGCAGTGAGCTATATATAGGTGAGTGTTATCAATTAAAAGATGATAGGGCCAGGGGGTTTTCTCTGTAATTTTACGACTTGTGCTCCCATTAAACTTTGCGCGCATAGAGTTTAAGGTTTAAGATGTATAGTTTAAGGTTTGCAAAGGACAAGCTTTTTTCAAATTGGCTGTATATATAGTAAGCATGATAGAGAACTGCATGTATTTGCTGTGGGTATCGTATGTTTTTCAGTTGACTTCGTATCCGTGTAGACTGTATAATAATAATAATAATAATCTTTATTTAAACTGTGAGACCCATTCAGCTAATTATAAAGCTGGTCTTACCCGGGTGAACGGTATTTACAGTTATGGAATACTTACATATATATACGTTTATATACAATATTACAATAATCAGTAAAAATTATAAACTACACCTATGTGTAGAATTGTCTAATTCTAAAAAATGTTTAAAAGCATTGTTTTTAAAGGTGCCGAGAACTTTAATATCTCTGATGCATTTCGGTGGCAAGTTCCAATCACGTGCTGCAGCGACTTTAAACATAGTTTGCCCTAGTGAGTTGTTTACTCTAGGTATATCTATCAAAGTTTGATCACGGAGGGATTTTTCTCTTAATGAGTTCTTAAGACCAGATAATTGTTAAGATACTTAGGAATGTCCATATTATTGACAATTTTAAAAACTGGAATATTCCTTAGAAATCGTCGTCTGCCGTGTACAGTTAAAAGGCCAAGACGATTTCGCATTTCTTGAGTACAGGTTGTTCTATTAGCACACAAGATTGTTCTCATAGCTTTATTTTGGATTTTTTCAACTCGATTAGAGAGAGCAGACCCACAATCCTGTATAAGGTTAATATGCGGTATTCTAGAAGTTATAGTTGTCCCCCAAAAAACTGGACACTGCATGATTTCATGTAACGTGACAGCTATCAATTATCAAAGCTATATCGCAATGGACTAAAGATCATTGCATTCGGAAAGGACTAACTTAGATTTTGATATATAGCACTATGCAATATTGTTTGCGCTATTGATGTTTGAACGTTGAACTACTGTTTTTGAAAATGCCAAAAATTAGCATAAAACAACCTTATAATTATATACTTGTTAAATAATATTTTTATTTTAGTCGTCTCGCTCAATATTGCATGTGAATTCAAGTGTTATATATCAAAATCTAAGCTATGCAATGGTCTTTATTTCATTGCGATAGCTTTTACGTTACTTGAAATCAAACAGTGTCGAGTTTTTGGGGGGGACATCCGGTATATATTTTATACATTCAAGAAGAGATCTCTATTTCATGACTGGCTATACCTATAGCGACATTGCGGGGGTTTTCACTGAGTTGTCACAAGTTACTCCCACGCCTAAACAGGAAGTGAAATATCACTTCAGCTGCTTTCCAACATCACGTAGCCTCAAGAGCATTGTTTACCAGATGTGAGCAATCGAGCTGACTTGAAAGTTCTCGTTTAATATAGGGTGTGAACCGGGTACATCGTGTAGTGTTAATTCCTATTTTTCTAAAGTGTTTAGTGTTAAAAGAGCTAGAGGTTTACC